AAAATATTTCGAAAGTGTTAAGAAAATGGCTAAAGAATTGACAAAATAATTATTAGTAGTTTCAGATTTACTGAGACTCATGCTAGACAAAAAAGGCTCCAAGCTACGAATCTGAAGATGAATCAATCATTGTTGCACAGCAAATACGATTTCATTTACATTATAGTGGTTTGATTTAAGGAAGTTAGGGAAGAGAGTTGAATTGCATAGTGTTCGCATGTTGATTTTATATTCATGTGTGACGTTAAATTGTGGAACACAATTATCTTGCAAAATTGTGCCTGGATTAGTTGTAATACTGTCCAGTGCCGATGTTAGATGTTAAAATAATTTATTTTGTGGTTGAACTTTAAAAAGTCTAGCTACAATTCTTATAGAGGCATTTAACGTTCTTCGGACACTGCAATTTATTTGTAAATGGATTTAAAAGTAGTCTATCCAAATATATGCCTTGTTCTTAGAATGATAATTATAAATGCACTAACTGTTACATGTATTGAAAGTTTTTTTCCTTAACTGAAATTTACAAAACCCAGAAACCATCCATTGTTAATGAGTATCTAATAGGGTTGGCCACGCACTTTATCAAAAGTGATGATGCAAGAAGGTTTAATTTTCAGAAATTTAACGAAAAAGTATTATCGAGAACAATTAAAAAGTAAATTGCTAACTTTGGCGAAATTGAAAACAAGCAAATCCTAACTGCTCTAACATAGTGGATCTTAGGTAGCATGCTACTGAAGTTTTATTATAACATTACATTTCATAAATTAGAATGCAAAGGTGCGAATCTTTTTTTTTTTTTTTTGGCTTTCATTCCAAAAAATTCATCTTAACATCTTAAATGAGTTATAGCAGCTACAACATTAACTAAATCTACCTTAATCTTTGATAGGCTGTTTACGCTGAAAAAAATTCGAACATCATCCCAGACTTTCTGATACTCAAAATAACCACTCTCCCCATACTTCAAAGATAAAAAAAGTTCTCGAAAATACCAGAAAGAACCTCCTAATGTTACATATAGAAGAACATAGACGAAAGAAGCACCATCTAACCAAGAAAACTGAAACACGACATGCTGAGCTTCAACAAGTTTTCACCACAGACACTACAGCACTGGACATCTTAAACCTTTACACCATACGCTATACATCCAACCTGGAAAGCATAAAAAAGAAACAAGTGCAAAAGCTCAACAAACTAACCAAAACAGATATCCCTACGACTACAAACATTGTACACAACTACAGTTCGAGATTACTAAGTGATGCTGAAAACAAGATCCTTAACCTAAGCTTAAACTTCGCCGTACATCCTAGCACAGTTTCAGCAGTTGACATATTTGCAACCTTAGAATCTGCTACACAAAACCTCCCGAAACCCATGGCTGAACAATTCCGACATCAAACTTACACGATCCTCAGGAATGCCAAGAAACCAAAACCTAACATCACCAAACAGGAATACAACGCACTGAACCGTCTAAGACGGGATGACACTATCAAGATTCTACCAACAGACAAAGGAAACAGTGTAGTCATCTTAGACGTCAAAGATTACGACTCGAAGATCAAGCAGTTACTAGACAAACACCAACACAAAAAGATCACCAATGACCCTACAGAAAAGACAAGAAAAACTCATCAACAGAACACTGAACAAACTTAGGAAACAAAACTTAATCAACGAGAAGCTAGCCAAAGACTTAAGAACCAACGAGAATTTTCCTCCTCAATTCTACGGACTACCTAAAGTAAACAAACCTAATATACCTTTAAGGCCTATCGTCAGTGCTATAAACTCACCTTGCCATCAACTAGCAACATTCCTGGTACCTGTTTTATCTCCACTACGAGGAAATACCGAATATCACATTCACAACTCAACAGATTTCATAGAACAACTCAAAAGGCCACACATCATATCTCAGGATATTTTAGTCAGTTTTGACGTCACAGACCTATTTACCAATGTTCCGACCTCAGAAACCTTTCGTATCACCAGACAACGACTTCTGAATGACAAATCTCTACCACATAGAACCGACATGAAGATAGACGCCATCATGGAACTAACGACTATTTGCCTACAATCAACGAGGAATTCTACAAACAAACAAATGGTCCAGCCATGGGATTACCACTCTCTCTAATCTTAGCAGATATTTTCATGGAAGACTTTGAAGAAAGAGCCTCTCATCTACACATATAAAACCAAGTTTCTATAGACGTTATGTTGACGACACTTTCGTTATCTGGTCCCACGGTCGTGAAAACCCAATAGCCTTCTTACAACACCTTAATTCCGTAGACAAGAATATTCACTTCACCATAGAAATAGAGAAACAAAACAGCTTATCATTTCTTGACATACTGATCAGCAGACAAGAGGGAAAATTCACCACAACTGTATACAGAAAACCCACCCACACGAACAGATACCTACACTTCCAGTCCTATCATCCAAACTCGAAAAAACGTGGAATAATCCAGTGCCTAAACAAGAGAGCAGAAAACATTTGCGATAACACATCCATCGAAATAGAACACCAAAATATCATACAGTGTTTTAAACAGAATGGTTACACACCTTCCTTCATCAAGAACTCCCTGAAGAAGACCACAACAGAAAAGAAAAATAAAGAAACCACCACCACTACAACCATATACCTCCTATACCTGAAAAATGTCAGTGAAAAACTCAAACAAACTCTAAGAAATTCAACATAGACGTCCGGTGGAAATCTTACAAAACACTAAGGTCCATTCTGATGAAGAACAAACAGAAACTTACCAACAAAAAACAGAAAAACGTCATTTATGAAATTCCGTGTTCCTGCAACAAAACATACATTGGAGAAACGGGAAGAAGACTCGGACAAGAATAAAGGAACATAAAGACAGCAAAAGACTCATGAAAACACAAAATTCAGCCATTGCAGAATACGCCATGTCAACTGGACACAACATAAACTGGGAAAAAGCTAGAATCATTGACACAGACAAATTTTGGAAGACTAGAAAAATTAAAGAATCGTTTTACATTAACACAATAAAACCTTCACTAAACAGAGATTCAGGATTAAAGGTGAGTAAACTGTGGCTACCATTGGTTGAGGATACAGTAAGTCTCTCCTCCAATCAGAAACGTGTTTTAACCAACCAATCATAACACGCTTTCCACAGTCCACTAGAACACTATAAAGACCAAACTACACCACAAACACACTGACCAACCATGACAGACACTCACCACACAGTATCACAAGACATTCTCGATTTAGCTATTGTTCCCAGCACACTCGTAGGTCACATCAGCAACTTTAAAGTACTCCCCAACACAGGTAGTGATCATGATTCGATAAGTTTTACACTATACTCACGTAATAGAAACACCCCAAGTCTTAAATCCGTCATTGACGAATATTCAACAACAGACTGGGTCAGATTTAATAACCTAATATGTAACAATATTCCAAATATCGAGACGAATATCACATCAGAAACAGATATCGACAACTACATCAACACATTAACAACAACAATTAAAAAAGCAATGGAAAATATCACGCCCTCCAAAGTTAGAATCACAAATCCTAGTCACTGGAAATTAACACCAGAAATTTTAAAATTAATCTCCGAACGTAGGAAACTAAGAAGGACATTTATACGTATGCGAGACAAACTAACTAAACGCCACATCAACAAAGTAAATAATAACATCAAGAAATTAATCCGCGAACAACAACGAAACAATTGGGACCAATACTGTAAAAGTATCGATCAAAACTACAATGATCCAAGCACTTTCTGGAGGAAGTTTAAAAACATAACGAAAACCCAAGACTCAAGCAGCACAAACACGTCACACTACAAGAAAATCACAACCACTTCAAACACCGAACAAACAGAACTATTCGCACAATACTACAAAGACACGTTTATCACCCCTGATCTAGACACATTCAGTAGAGACCACTTCACAAAAATCAAGAACTACATTAGCAACAACAAGGAACCATTTAACCCAACTTTTCCAGTACAACTAGATAAAACAGAACACAAAACAACCAAAGACTTCTACTCAAGACCCATATCAGTAACAGAAATCAAACAGACACTCAAGTCCGTCAAAAGAAAAGCCCTTGGGGATGACCAAATCAGCAACACAATCCTAAAGAACCTAAATGACACCGTAATCAAACACCTCGCAGACATCTACAACATCTCACTACAAGCTGGCTATTACCCTAAAGCATGGAAACATGCAATTATTAGAGTCATATC